TGATATAACTGCCTGAATGCCTGTGGGGAGCCCCCCTCCTCAGCAGATGTCTCTGACTGACGATCGGTAGCCTCCTCCTCCTCCTCAGCATCCTCCTCCTCCTCATCAGGCTCCGCCTCCATAACGTGAGCCCTGCGTCTGCGGACAGGCCCTCCTCGAGCTCCTCGAAAAGGCCTAGATGGCCCAGCTCCCTAAAAAGGCCCGGATGGCCCAGCCCCCTGAAAAGGCCCGGATGACCCAACTCCGTGAAATGGCCCAGATGGCCCAGCTCCCCAAGGAGGCCCAAGTGGCCTGGCCTGCGGCTGACCGGACCATGAAGGCATCTGAAAACAATGAATTCAATTCAAATACATCAGTCCAAATATATACATCAGATGCAGATACAAGCAAAGGCTACATGAAGTGGGTGCATGTAAATACAGTGTACAAGTGGGGTGTGTGTCAGATGTGCTCTACACAAGTAGTCTATCGATGCAGTAGAAATCAGCATGTCATCAGAAGTATGATAAATGCCAGAAAACTGAAAGGTACCTGAATGCCCGCGATAGACAACTGTGCCTCCCTCCGCAGGACCATGCCCTCGACTGTGGCCACCAGTCCAACCACCTCCTCCATCTACTCTCGCGGTGGCTGCAAATATGAGCTCATAATCATCAGTGAACAAAAGAATGTCTAAACATCTAAATGATGAATGAAAAATAGTGGAGCATACCAGCGGTGAGTCAGGATCAATGGCGTATCGATCACTGGGCATCGGAGGCTCTAGCGGGATCGGGGTCGGAGAGATAGCCCCATATTGCCACGCCATCAACTCAGTCGGCATATCTGGCCATCCAGGATAAGGATAAGTCGACAGAATCGGAGGAACCGGTCTACCCCCACCTCTAGATGTACCAGCCCTACTAGTAGAAGGGGCGTCTGCAGCCTGAGCCCGGGCCTGGCCCGAGGATGACATACCAGCAGGCCTCGTCATCGGGGCACGAGCTCCCGTCAATGGAGGCATCAAATATGTATGACGGTAAGTGCCGTAATCCCCCTCCTCGAGATATAATAAAGCATCGCTACCTAGCATAACGCCGACTACCTCCGAGAAAGAGAGCCTGTCAGCAGTCCGCATACTGACTAGGGGTACTGCGGGAGGATCCTGAGAAAGATACCCCCATACCTGACGCAGAAAGCGTTCCCCCAGAAACCATGCCCTGCCAACCGGCCCTTCGAGCAGGACCCTATACTGGGAGGTGTCCGACCCTCCGGTATACTGAAGTCGGAGACCATCACCCAGAGACGCCCAAGGCTGCTATGAGATCTGCGGATGATAAATGCATAAACCAATCAGAAATCGGGAATATACAGAGCAAATCAAAGATGAAAATGAAAGGAACTGAAAATTCTGGAGTACCTCCGAATGCCGCACAGTGTCAAAGTACTGTCGCAGGTAAATGAGAGTCTCTCGGGGTCTCGGCCGGTGCGGGCCCTCGAACACTAGTGAATATGGGGTCATGGGGGGCCCTGCCACCTCCAACTCTGGGGCTAATGCTGGGAAGTATACATAGACCCATAGCTGAGAAAAGCAGTGCAGAATGTAAGTACGAAATGCTGAGAGCAAAATACAGACTGTAAAAGTGCGCTGTGTGTGCAATGTACAAGTAATGAAAAGTAGAAATGCAAATCAAGGGGACAGAAAAGTAGCTCCCAGGCTCTCCAGTAGCCGCCAAGTAAATCGCCCCGCCCGCGGGAGGTCGCGCTCATATAAAAGTAAAGGGTAGCCAGGCCGGCGCCAAAGGAGAGTGAAAATATGACCTGTGATAGGTCAACCAGAACGCTCAGCAGGTATAGCCCGACGGTGTTCCCTCTATCGGTGAACAGGGTAGTCCCGAAGAGGAACATAAGGAAACCACGGGCGTACTGCTCCGTCTCCTCAGGAGTCTCGGGCACCATCTCCGCCCGCC